TATGAATAGAAATTTCTGGATTTTAAAAAAGTTCATATGGTGCATATATCATACATTATGTAATACTCCCAGCAAGGTCCAGGGTAGCAGCCCATAGTCCAACACATAAATATGTCAACAATTTAGATGTTTCTTAATGATTTGATATTTTGACAATATAAGGGGGTGCTGACACATGTATGTTCTAGAGTTTTCTATTAGCTAAGGACATTTTTTTGGAGGGAGGTCTTTTGCAATTATCTTTATATCTACGTCTATTATAGTAAGGATACACTACACACTATTTACAGGTCTAAAACTTTTGGAATCAGGAAACACAAAAATATACACCTCCAAAATATAGTTTTAGCCTCATTTGTAGAAACAATAGAAGCACATGCTATCTCAGAAGAAAGTGAGTGTTTTCTCCATCTAATGCCATTTTCCTGCTTTTGAGTATATGCAGCTCAGTGGGAGATAATATGGACTGACAAATAATCCCACCTGATTCATATGCTATTCAAACAATATAACAGAGAATTCGGGAAAGCCCACTCTAACTCCTGCTGTATCTGCTCAAATTAAGTAGTAGTGACCTTACAGGAGAGCATCAGGAAGCCCAGTGTCAGCTTTAACAGGACAAAAGCCACCACTGGTGTCGGCAGCCCTATGGTGTTGTCCTGAGACCAGCAGCAGAAATGGCCAGGCGCAGTGTGATGTGGATAGTGGGCGCCTCTTGAAACATGTGCTCTTAACATAACATGTAAAAATCAGCAAACTCAGGAGACATATAATGAAGAGAATATGATGCATGAATCCAGGTTCATTAAATTAATGCATTTTTTTTGAAAAACAAAATATGACAGAACATTTCATTCTTGATGCAGGTACGCGAGAAAGTGTTATGCTGCTATTCATGATGTGTCTTGCGTGTCACGGAATTGAAATATTTCCAAATCATCAATAATTAAAATGATGAGAATCCATCATTTCACTGACATTCACTTCTACATGAAAAGATGGCATATTTTAAATGTGCTCGCACATATTCTTGTCAATCACGAGCTGTCACAGCAAATTATTTCATTTTCAGATCACATGACAGCAGAAAATCTCCAGGTTTAAATTTAGATCTGAGGTGTAATATCAAGAACTCTTTTCACGGGTTTTGGTGTGTTTTTTTCCAGTGACTACATCTTCACAATCCAGCTTGTAAAAGATGTAAAATCTTATTCATAATACTCAGTTACTCTTCTGGTTAACAAAACTCAGGACTTAAGCAAATCGCTGTAAATGATAACTCTAAAAGCCAAATGGTAGGCTAGGACAGATAGGAAAGAATCAAAGTATAAAACTAAAAAAAATTCAAAACAACCAGTGCTCCGTACATGGGAAGGGAGGCCCAATGAATTAGGTCCAAATGAGGTTTTCTCTCTCATCTTCTTTAGACATTTAAGCACCTTCAGGGCGTGAACCCTTCCTTATGCTAGGTTTGCATGGCCTGGACATCATCAAGGAACTGGACTCATAAACCCCATGAAGCTGATGCATGAATTTTCACTAGGTGCCACTAAGCAGGAGATTCAGGAAACTGAAGACCTACACTGCTTGCCTGCCCATAAATCTGAAAACTTTTAAATGCCTTTTCAAACAATGCAATAACTACCTCTTCATAATTCTAGCAGAATCATTAATTTTAGAATCTCCAAATGCCAGAATTATAAGACCTAATAGGACAGTTGATTATCACCAGCAATCTTCATAAAAATGTTTCTATTTTCCCCCATACGCAATTAATCTTTCTGCTTAAGCGTTGAACTTCAAAATGCAAGAATTATTCGGGGATACTGCATTTCAACAGAGAATGCCTCATGTCAGTTTTGACCTTGGCCTGACCTCTATATAAAAGCTTTGTGTTTCAAGGTATGTGATGAATAGCTCTCTGGCTTTAAATCCAGTGCCACTGGTTGTCAACAATGATGCTCAAAAGGGGTAATAAAGTAGTTAAAAAATCAGAGATGTTCTCTGGATTAAATAAGTATTACATCTAGGCAAAAAGAAAAAATCAGAGATGTTCTATACATATGTTTCTACCTTAGCAAATCTGGAAGTAGTTATAAATAAGGTAATTTTCACTATCTATACTGCTTTTCCAAATAATAGGAAAACGATGAAGTATAGAATTATAATTGCCAAAATATACCTAGGCTGATTTGGCCTTCCTGTGCCACAAATGAAGTAAATTTTCCTTTGGAGGACCCATTTGATTTACTTTGTTGAATAGTGTTCTCGGTTTTAAGAATTTACAACTTATTTGCCCAGTTTATGGTCCTTAAAGACCAGGGCTTCTATCCCTATGCCAGGACTACACATATAGTAGAACTTAATAAATATTTATTGGCTTAAATTTAGATTAAATTGAATTAAATTGAATTTAAAATCAGAGATGAAAGAATAATGATAAAAAAGAAATCAGACTATGAGCCCTTTTTTCCACCTGTCTCTAATCTATCCTAGTACTCAGCACATAGTATGCTCTCAGTGAATGATGGCTGAATGAATGAAAATCAATATATTGAAATAATGACCAGTTGCTTCTAATGCCTGTTGGTTAAATGCATATAAAATATTCATGGTCATTTAGAAAGATAAAACAGTAACACCCAATTCTGTCAGTTGTTTTATTCCTATTTACCTTTAGAATGCTTGATTTTCCAACTTCTGAGAATGCCCTCCTACCCTAAATTTATCTACCACCTTCAAAGCTGTTCATACATGTTTTACTTTTATGGTACATTCAGGACAACAAGTTGGCAAATTATTGATTTATCTATAAGACGTATGCAAGAAAAGTAATTTTAATTTGATTTTAGAAAGTATGTGACATCTATATGAAATATGTGTATATATATGTATGACATACATATATATATGAAATCTCCCATACCCCTCTCAAATGATCTAAATCAAGTTTTACATCTATATTACCATACATATATACACACATATGTATAATATTTATTTATATTTATATACTTAGTGTTCTGAAAGAAATCAAATACTGGTCTTCAGGCTTATCTATGAGCTTAACTTAGATGAGTGGCTTTTTCCCCATTATACTTATCCTAAGTCTTTTTAATGGACATGTGATATGCTAGTCTGTGTCCAAGCTCACCTACAATTTCTTTTCTCAAAAGACAAGGCACATCTGCCACCTGCTCTACTCCGTGTCCCAGCAACAACTGTCGAGCAGCATAAAGATTGATTATCAGTCAAAAACCATTGCACAACACCAGATTTTGGTGGGTTAAGCTTGCTGATCCAGCAAGAGATGGTGTGAAATTTTCAGGAGTGTGTGCCAACATTTTGGTGCTAAAAGAACAGCAGTGCATGTCACAGTGAAACACAGCCAAAGATGTGCAGACAAAGCAGAGAAGTTTTTGTTCTGGACTTGGCTTTAAAAAGGATAAGAAAGAAAACAAAAAGTAAGAGGAAACTAGTTTGCACATTTAAAAATCATCCACCGGGCTCAGTCATGTGTGTAACGTTGGTATTTTACGCATACATGTCGGGGAGATTTTCTAAGCTTAGCTGTAAATAATTTTTATATCTCTCTTCCCCAATACCATTATCATATCAAAGGCAAGTATTTATTATTTATCAAAATAATCAAGGATCTTAAGAAAGCACTAATTATATAAATATCTGAATATAAAAAAACCCTCAGAAACATTTACCCACAAAGACTCATGCTTATATACAAGCAGATGATTAATGAATATAAAATAAAGGCAGCCATATTCAAGATTAAAGCAAAATTAGAAAATTCTATGGATCTACACTATCGTATAGGTAATTTTTACTGAGTATTGTAGCAACAAGTTTCTTTACAAGGACCAAATTACCTTGAACTTCCTATTGAATTCAATAAATTATTTCCTGATGATCAAGCATTATGAAAGAGACAGAAACCTGAGCATTACTTTATATAATAGCATTAGTAGAGAAAGAATTTTCATCGCCTCATCTGTAATGAACTCCAGAATTACTTTTCTTGTATTTATGCAATTACTGCCTAGACTTGCCTTTGGTTCACCAGCTTTATAGCAGTTGCAGGAAAAAAAATTCTTCTAATAAGGTATAAAAAGCATAAGGGAGCACAGCAGTTAGGTACACTGAATTTGTATGGCAAAGTTGTGTCATTTAAATGTAATTACCATATATAGGACTTGATAACAGACTCTGGATATGACATGCTCGGAAGAATATTCTTAGATTGCGGTACTTTCATGTATCTCTTAAAATGTATTCTAATACTAAAGAAAGAGAAATGTTTTCTATTTTTAGAAAATCTAAATGCACTTTTTAAAAAAAGATCTTACCTGCAAATATCTCTAAAATATATATATATTTACATTTATATCTCATATATAATTTCTATTATTATAATTTCTATTATATATATTTATTTATATATATACATTTAAAGGTTAAAAAAAAGTTAAGGTGTAGTATTTACTGTATGAAAAATTTTATTAGGAAAATGACATGTATATAAGAATTATGTGTTCATTACTGGCCACAATTATTTTCATAATTGTGTTAATGCCATCGGAAAAAAGACCAAGAGTTTAAATGAATAAATGATACTTGAATCTTTGAACTATTTTCTAAGAGAATAAGTCTAATGAATTATGTCTGTTGGGTGTCACAGAAACTAAACAGCAAATTCAATAATCTCTGATTTAATTTATTATATTTTCACCATTTAACCTCCTGCAGGCTCCCTAATGTCTATTCAGATCTATATTAAATTAAGCACCAATGCTAATGAAGGGCAATAAACGTGGCTGTCAGTGGATTTTTCTTTCATTAACCACATTATCCTCTTACTGAGCTGTAAACGCGTAAACATTAGTTTTGTTAAACCGTGCAAAGACGACAGGATGGAAATCATTTTTTAATTGCATCCCTCAAGCAATTTACTGTATGTGGGGGTAGGATTTTTTTTCCTTTTTTACCTTTAATTTTTTTGAATGGATCTAAAAAGGGCTCTCCCATTGAAACATAAACATCGGCTTCGTGGGGTATATCTTCAGGTTCGAGGGCTTCAGTGCCGTCTGCCAAGAACACTCGTCGTGCGGCTGTGTTCAGATTCAGCTTTTCCGTGCACTCCTCCAGCAACTGGAAGAAAGCGAGAGGTAAGAGAAAGTGATTCACCAAAGGAAAGGAACATGTTTCCGTGAAACAAAAGGTGCCAGCAATCAAAACAGAAACTTCAGCCCATTGCCAGACTTTCCTTGAGTAACTTCACCAATATAGTAATTTTCTAGCAGTTGAAAATATACAAATAAAAGGTAAATCGCAGCACTAAGAATATCTAACGGTTGTCTAATTTTAGTCCTTAAATGTCCTGTCAGTTAAATGTTCTTATAACTCTATAAGAAATATAAGCCACTTTATCTGCTTAATATACTATTTATATATTAGTATATATAAAGGAAAGGAAAGGAAAGAAATGTCTGTGCGTCCTACATATGCATAAGCAATTCACAGACTCCTATCACTAAAAAATCTTTAACATAATAAATGTCATTTTTCTCATCTTTTATATTATAAAGAGAATAAGGGAAGAACTGAAGCACGGAAAACTTGCACACTAGTTACCAAGGTGATGGTTGGTACAGTAACTTTGGCAAAGGCTGTGTGAGATCCATTTCTGTAAGCTGTTACTCTAATCACTCTGGGCTGAAGTTTACCCCTGTGAGAGATTCTGTGCCAGTTCTGGGCCGACTGAAATTCTGGAGATGAGAGCGCCGCAGCTCTGAGGAGGGAAAAACAGAGTAAAAATAGTGACGACATTCAAAAAGATATCATCTTGGGTATTTTTTTACAGAGATAGGCCCTAATGATTGTTCATAAGTATTCTTCAAAAAACTTTTATAGGATATAATTGCATATAACTACTTAAATATTTCAAAACACTTAATACGAGATAAGTTTGCCAAAACTGTTCATGTCAAGCACATATCTCAGAATAAATCCTTTTTATCATTTTACTTATAAAACATCATACTCATTTTTTAAAATTATATTGCTATATTAATTATGTTCTGATAAAAAGCAAAAAAAAATAGCAATGGGGTCTTAACATCATAAAATAGTGAATGGCGAACATTTTCCTTGTTTTCATGTTTATCAAAGTTCTTTGCTTTTTCAAAAAGATTTCAAGTTTCAAATAGATTATAACTAAATTTTTTATCTTAAAATTAATTGTAATTGCTTATATTTCAAGTTGTTTGAAGGCAGTAAGAGAAGATTTCTAAGTTTTGTCTTTAGTTAAAACCAGTGTCGATCCTTATTTCCTCGGCAGAAGTACACGTAAGTGATTAATGTGTCAAATTTTTACTTCAGAGATCTCTAACTAACCCTGTTAATTCTTAATGCTACAGAAGGCAAAGTAAACATTTCCCTAAAACTTTAGGGAAATTAAAATCAAAATATATCCACCTATTCAAATATATGAAAATAATAGGAGCATCAGTTTCTCGAATTGATTTTTGTTTTACGAACATTTTATTCTATCCACAAGCTCTTAGGTTAAAAGTTTATAACAGCCTTGATGTGAAAATGCACACAATAGTTTTACAGTAAGTTCACTGCGATTTAATTTTATTTTGAAATACTGGTTAAATACCAAAAGTATGCATTTCAATTTTTAAACAAATATCTGATAAGCAAAGATATTTCATGATCCCACACTAATTCTGCTTCAAATATTTTTTTCAGAGTTTCACATTCTCCAGGTTGAAGTGTATGTACTTCATGTTCTCCACAAATGTAATTAACAACATTCTACTCCGGTGCTTTCAAAGGAAAAAAATAAAACAAAACAAAAACAGAAACAAAACCCTAGGGACAGAGACGTGTTACATTTTAATGTCTGCAGTAGTCAACTGAATCATTATAAATTCTGCTCAAAGGAAAAACCTTCAACAGTTGGTTGAAAAAAACAAGAGGACAGCTTTGATTACCTCAGTTGACCTGCTGGAGCACTGACAGGTCTGTTTCTCTTGGATGCTGATATAAAACAGGGATTGTTTTCACTGTTTGATTTGTAGCTATCTGGGTCTGATATTTCATGGCTATGATCTGATGCTGTTTGATGTGTGGAGCAATCTTGAAGTCCTGACCCTTCTGATATTGCTGCTGAAAGCAACCGTCTGTTGGGGCCAAACTGAGGCTGCAAATAATCTTCAGTAGTTTTAATAACTGCTTTTGCCTGGGATGACATAAACTCCCTGGGAGAAACAATGCGTGGAAGAATACAGTGAATTGATTTGCAATCACTTATTAACAACTACCACATAACAACTAGTTTTGTGCTAGACAAATACTGCACACTTAGCCATTATTTCATTTAATCCTTACAATATCCCTGGGAAGTGGGTACTATTTCGATCCCCATTTTCCAGATTTAAGAAATTGTGGCTGAGAGGCTAATTAACTTGCCCGAGCTCAAATAATCAGTTAGTTGGCAGGAAGAAATTGAACTCAAGCTTGTCCTAAGATAAAACCCACATTCATAATCATTAAACTTAATTACTTACTTAAAGAAGAAAGCTGTGTAACCCTTGAAACAATGTAAGTAAATTTTTTAAATTATTGATTGGTTTATTAAACACTAGCACTCTGCCAAGTATTAGGAAATACAAAAGTTAAAGAGATGTGGTTCCTACCCTTGAGAAACTTGCAAACTAACCCCTAATAAAGAGAGAATATACTGTAAATAAACTGCTTAGAACTATGGGTGTGTATTAATTTTAGGTGCAAAACAGAATTCCTTGAAGGCAAACTTTTGTAGGCTGGAATAAAGCTGGTAAAGGCTTCCCAGCAGACTGGAGATTAGGGTGACTAGCTCATCCTGGTTTGTTCAGGACTGTCCTGGCTTTGGCACTGAAAGTCACACATCCTGAGGATTTCAAGTGATACAGCTTATTACCAGAACACACAGAAAGTTAGGAAAGTAAATCCACTCCAGGAAGGCACAAAGAGAACCGGAAAACCAGCCCTAGCCGGTGTGGCTCAGAGGTTAGAGCGTCAGCCTGTGGACTGAAAGGCCCCAGGCTCCGTTCCAGCCAAGGGCACGTGCCTCGACTGCAGGCTCAGTCCCGGCCCACAGTGCAGGAGGCAACCAATCGATGCGGCTCTCTCTCATCAATGTCTCTCTCTCTCTCTCCCTTCCACTCTCTCTCTGAAAAGCAATGGGAAAAAACATTCTCAGGTGAGGATTATAAAAAAAAGAGTTAGGAAACCATTCACTGCTCTCCAAGCTACACTAGCCACACAGGAGCCTCCCTAGCAGACTGCCGCTTCCTTGGACTCGGCAACCCCGTCCCTCCTGTGTCCACCTGCTTCCTCCTCCTGCATCGTTATCGCCTAAACTGCCTCGACCCGCCTCCCCCCCCCCATGGATTCTGCTCCCTTCCTCCATGCGTCCCCCCATTTCCACACCACAGCAGACCCTCTCGGCACGACTCACATTCAGTTCCCCCCAAAGTTTAATTTCATCAAGAGCCAGTAAAAGATACTCCGGTTGAGTGGAACTCTCAAGCGAGGTGGCCTCCGAAACCACTGGCAAGACTGTGAATAAGAAATTAACCATCAATCGCCCAAAAAAGTCGCCTTATGGACAGAACTGCAGGATAAGGAACAGAGGAGTCAGAGTGAGATGGGCTCTAGATGCCTCCCCAAGGGGGAAACATAGCTGGCGGGGACTTGCGTGGCCTGTCTAGCACATTGAGATACATGACTCACTAAAACAGATCACGCAATTAAACTACCAAATGTTTTCAAATTGAATAACTACTCAAAGGCTATTCTGATTCTTCTGATTATTTTAATATTAGTAACTTCTAACCATAAACAGAAGAATGTAATATTACAATTGTAAGCCCACTCCTGAACCATCTGGCCCAATAGTTTGTTGTCAGTGTTGGCCCAAAGGGATGTGGGTTGCAAGGTAGGATTGTCCTTCTTCTTTTTATTATTATTATTATTATTATTATTATTGATCTTTAGAGAGAGAAGAAGGGAGAGGAAGAGAGTGAGATTGATGTGAGCNTTTATTATTATTATTATTATTATTATTATTATTATTGATCTTTAGAGAGAGAAGAAGGGAGAGGAAGAGAGTGAGATTGATGTGAGCAAAACACTGATCAGCTGCATATATATAGCTGGTTATATTAAATTTCTGCCTACCATACTAGCTATACAATTACCCAGGTTTTATTATCCACTTTTTAAAATATTGGGTAATAAAATTTAGATCCAGATATTTTATTTTCTGGAAGATTCTAATGTAATTACTTAAGATTAAGTTTTGACATCATTCAAAATATTTAAAAGAATGTGCCACAGATGATTATGGGAAAAATCCAAAGCAGAATTTTAAAAAATGCTTTGAGATTATAATGCATTATTTTAAGGTGGAGGGTTGGGGTGGGGAAGGTATTCACTTGGATGTAAATGTTCTGGTATGGGTTTTTTTGTAAAAACAACAGCTACATTATTGCTGAGTTAATTTAGAGTCGGTTATTGAAAAAATACTATTTCTTTTAGCAATTTGAATAATTTATTAAAACGAGGTCATAAAAAAGATTAAAGAACAAATGTGGTTATGTGTGTTTATATGCATATAAACTATATAAATATTTAAGAATTTTATGTGTGCTTAGGGGAAGATGAATTAAAATGTCAAAGTTTAACCTTGCAGCAGTATGAATAAAAACTATCAGTTAATTAAAAATTATCAAACTTTAGGTTAATAAATCATTTAGACAACTTCTACATATGATACAATGGATATGGTAAATCACAGAATTACAAAGGCATATTAATAAATTAACTAAGCATTTACCCTTTGCTCAAACAGTACTATACCTCATCTACATGTTGTCTTTCCACTCTAACCAAGCAGGTCATCAGGGGCAGATCTTATACACTGTGGAATTTACAAGCCCCTTGATAACCCAGGCTAGTGTTCAATTATGCTTTACTCTCTTTGATTTTCACTTAATCTAATTTACAATTTTTGCTTCACAAAGCAATAACCAAGTGGATATGTGAGGTCTAAAAGTGTAAGAAAATATACTCAGAAAGGAATATAGAAAAAGCAGATAAATAGACCATGATTAGATTTGAGGGTATGACTCTAATTTTGATAAGAGCAATTTTTCTTCTCATTTCCTTTGCTTTAATAGCATTAGTGAATCTTAATGGCTTTTTATAGCAATTGGAGGAAAACTCCAAATGAAAGCCATACTTGTTGATCTCATAGTCATACCAAGTGATGCTGCTCACTGCCCCCTGTAATGTCCCTCAGCTACAATGGCACCTCCTTCCTTCCGTAGCTCTTATCTGTATGCCTTATTGCCAGTGGCATTCACTTAACAGATCTATACCCAGTATACTGTACATCTTTCGGTAAGTAAATATTTAATAAACGTAAATCTGAACTCAGTGCTTATGTTTTCTAGAAACCTCTTCCATAATAACAATAATTGTCTAGTAGAAGAGATAAATGTTAAACAAATAGTTACATATATAAACTTACAATTATTATGAAGGAAAAGTCCTGGTTACTATAAGGGAGAAATTCAGGGGTTAGGGGTATAGGGAAGGCCTCAACAAAGCTGTTCAAGCTGACAAGACACATAAGAGGCATTAACCCCACCAGATCCTAGTCAATCCTTATTCTAAATCATTCCCCCTCCAGGTCCTGTGTATGAACTGATATACTGTTTTGCATATTGATATGTTTGCTTTGTGATTTCAGATGATTTCATTTCCCATTCTGCAAGGGTAAGATCCCTGTTTTACACATTTTACATTTCCACAGGAACTCAACCAGATTGATGTGCAGGAAGTATTCCTTGATAATTATGACACTGTGCAAAAAATGTTACAAAAATGCTACTGACAAAGAAACAAGCACAATGTAAGAAATAAAATATAATAAAGCTCAAGCCAAGAGTTATGTCAGGTAATGTTCATTTTATCTAAGTCATCCCCCTGATTTTCCCTTAGATAAAACAGTCCATTACATTTGAGAATTCGAGTTCTTTATATGCCCATGGAAGGTATCCCCTGATCAGCTCCAGGGAAGGAATCCTCAGTGGTCTAACACCAATGATGGTAATTCCATTTCCCTTACCCCTTGCAGGCTAAGTAATCAGCTTGTGATTCCATATTTGGCCAATGGGACATGAGGAGAAGTATTTTGGTGAATGTTTGTTGTTGTTTTGCCATAATAAAAAAGAGATGTAAGTGATCAAACTCTCATCTTCTGTATTGGACATTACTGAGTGAACCTGTGATGAGCCATCTTGTGAGCAGGACGAGTCAAACCCAAGGATCTAGCCAGTGTTCCAACAATGAAAGATACGAAGAGTCATGCTCTTTAAAAACACTGCTGAACCAGTGAATTTAACCCTGGGATTGCCCTGACTCTGAAGTTCTTGTTATGTGAGAGAGTGACTATTCCTCATTTTTAAAGTCACTTCCACTCTTTGAGTTTTCTGTTACTTTCCCATAGTAGCCTAACTTACACAATCAACTTTCTAATCATGTTTGCTTTACTTTTAGTTGCATTCAAAATCTACAGATTTTAAATAATTTTATAATGAGTTAAAATATAAACTAATAGGGTATTTTCTTTCTAAAAATTCTGCCCTACTTAATAAGAAATCTTTCACTGAAAATGTCAGCATAAGCATAAAATGACACAGAATTTTTAAATTTTCTTCCTTTTTGAAACACAAAGCATCTTTGGTGAGTTTAGATTTCTATGACAATAGTCTGCAGGTGGCTAATAATTCTGTTCATCAGTAGAATGTGTGGCTACTCTGACAGAACATGGCTCAGTAACAACCACGCAGGTCTAAGTTATCACACAGTTTGGATGTGAATGCAACAGCAGGACAATGACAGTTGCCAAGGATTTGTACTTGCTGTCGCTTCATACCAGTGTTGCCTGTCAAAGTGTCTCTTTCTCTTATACAGAAGCCATAGAATTTTTATGGATAGCAATTACTTACAATATACAATGAAGTACATCAAATCTAACAACCACTCTTTAGCCCGTCATTATCTGGTAGTCTCTTTGTTAAATGTAGTCATCCATTTTCGTCTAAATTATTTATTTATACTGTATATTTGACAAGCATATATTTCTCGCTTTATATTCTTATGGCATTTAAACCTTCCTGAAGAGTTATGTCATTTTTTTTTAATATTGTCATTTGTAAAACTTATCTTTATCCTATTACCACTTTAATGGTAATTAAACTCTCTAATTGGAATCGATACAAATAAGAAAATGTAAACATACAGAAAAATGACCCTAAGTACACTCAATAATAAATCATCACCTTAAAATACTGGAGTACAACCAATCAGAGAAATAACCCCACATATGTTTGATGAATGTAAACTTGCATAAAATCTCTGGAGTACACAAAGTACAAAGATTTTATTAAACTTCATCCTACCCTTCCCCCAACTTGATGACATCAGTGAGCTCTAAAGATATAAATAACTTTCTACAGTTGTTAGATAAAATGTAATTTAAACATCAGAGAAAGTTAATAATAAAAGCGAATAATTCACCCGTATTTTATTTTCAACACCAGAAGAAACTGTAATTCTAGTTTGGCCTAGAAATGTTGGTAAGGGTTTCCCAATTGGTAGATCAGTACATAAATCATCCCACTCACGGGAAAAAAAGACTACTTCTGTTTGTGCGAAAGTGTAATGGAATAAAAAGAAGGTATATCTGAAATCCAAAACTGGGGGAGGTTATAGATATTATATATAACTTTTCCAGAGGAAATTTAAATTTTTAAAAAGAAACAATTAGTTTTTCGACATTTCTAAAGGAAATAATGTGTGGATGTTTAGATCTGTGGAGTGTTGTTGTTGTTTTTAGCTTAAAGAAAAAATTTGAAAAAAATATGAACTAGGGAAAGTGTCATTTCAACGGGGCTTGAAAACAGGGAAGGCATTGCCTTGCTTCATTCACTGTTGCTGCCTCCCCCTCACTCCCTCTGCTACCCATTCATGGTGGACACTGACAGCTCACCTTTGGGATACTGAAATCAGGCAATGTAAGTGCTCGTATTTCAAAAAAGACTCTAAGGCTCATTCCAATTTAAAACAGCCAAAATAACTAAAATGACATAAAAAAGTGAGTGAATGGGTTAGGCACATTAGTCTCCTTGAAAGCAAGATTAAAGGGTAAAAATCCATGAAATTACTCCTTAGATGATCATCAGCTAAAAAAAATCATTAAAACAAAATATTTTATATGTGAGATAGAAAGCGATATTTTCTACAGTGTTCTCTTAATTTTAAAATGCAATTTTATTTGAAAATCTTCCACTCAGCATTTGGAGACACCTCCTGTAAATATGGCAGAACTGCCCCTAGAGACCTGTGACCAATAAATAATCGGTTTTTCCATCTATGTCACCCGGGATACAGTAGACTACAGCTGGATAGGAAAAGCTTCCTATTGTGCCACTTTCCTGGAAGCTGCCACAGGAATGAGGCTAGACTTTTCCAGTCTTCTGACCTCTTCGTGGCAAGTCAGGAAATGTGGGGATCGGACCTCTGGCACAGTATGTTGAACTCATTTATTCTGTTGGTGATTATTTTCTTGGGGGAAGGATCCTGGCACAGCAGTTTCTACTCTGTTACAAATAAATGCAGCAGAGAGTGATAGAGGAAACACGTTGAAAGAATACAAGAAAGAGAAGAGCGGATGAGGTAAATATAATAAAGAGTGAATTAATAGCATCAGACAATCACATGAAAATAAAGTGACTGATCACTGTATGGTTGCAATGAATGGATTTAATATATGTGGGCATATTTTATTAAATGTACAATGTGTTAATTAGTGAAGGAAAGCACAACCTCTGTGATATAAGTAAAGGAACAACAAATTGGCTGTATTTTAATAATTGTTTCTGATAAAAAGATCACAAAGATGGTGGAAGAAAGGTGGCAAGAAAAACAAGATGAGACAAGAACTGTTTTAACCTTAATCAAGAGGGAAATGTCTTTATTCGTAGAGAAAATTGACTCTCTCTAATAATTGTTTTAGTACAAACGGATCTTAGATTACCATTAGCCTTTATGAACTTGACCCTTTTCAGGTTGAAATTCATCATTTTCTTTTTCACAAAAGACCTCTGGGCATTGTCTTTGACTCTCTATTTGATTGCTCAGAAGAGGGTTACTTCACTTTCTAGGTGCATCATATAATCAAGGTTGATGGTAACAGGCAATAGTGACAGAAAAGAAGTTTGGATTCAGACAAAGAAATAGAAGCACATTGAAACAAACTATAAAAAACAGGTGGTAGGAAAGTGTCACATGAAAGAAAAACTGACATATAAAAAAAAAGATTTTAAAAGCCAGTTAAAGAGACTCAGAATCAAAGAAAGAAAATGGGGAGGGGGAGAAAAAAAACAGAATAAATGAAATTACAGTTAGTGCTAACAGAAAAAGAATATAGATTCTAGAAATGCACAAATGACAGTTGGAATAAAAAGTGAATGTAGTACAACATTGAAAAGGAAAATAAATTCTAAAGGCAATAACAAATGTACAAATACACATTTTATTAGCATTGGCAGTTGTATAAAGGAATATTTAAAAATCCTATTTAAATTTTTTTTCCATTGTCTTATTGGATAAAGACACTATCATGAGTAACTTATGTCTCTATAACTACTGGATAAAAATTTGCTAAGAGATTATCTCACTATACAGCTGTACACTGTGTAAATGATCCCATACACAGCAAACATTCCTCATAGCTCAGAGAAATAAGGCAAAACAAAGATTAGCTGAAATTCAAGATTTCATTTTCATCTAAACTTAGTGACAAACACAGAAACAAGCTGTTCTGAGATATAAATGTGACCTAGGATTTCCATAAAGAGATCAACATAATCCTAATTTAAGAATATTCTCTTCAGTGCTCTTATAGTTCACATTTTCTATTTATCATAAAGGCTATTTCATCACAGTTAGCCAAACAATGGCTTATCAATACCTGACAGACACTTTTTCATTCTTTCACTTTCTAATAGAAAAAAAGCAAAGGAAAAACACTTTTGTCTCCTCCGCTTTATATTTCCCAGAAGTGTGGTAGAATATAATAGTTAAGAGTTCTGGCTGTGCATTTAGATCTACATGGATCCAAACCACCCTACCGTGTGATCTTCCCAGCTGTGTCATCTTTCTTAAGTTAATTAACTTCTCTAGGTCTTTGTTTCCTCACAGGTAAAATGGAGATGTTTAGAATATTACCTGTCTTATATTCCGCCCAGTGTTGTTTTGAAAACTAAATAGGTATAATTCAGGTGAACTAGCACATAAATTGTATCTTCCCTGCCATTATTGTTATTATCATTTTGCTACCTGTCCAAGTCACTCTCCAGCGATAATTTATGTTAACTGCATCATCTGTCTTTTACTTCCCGTAAAAAAGAAAAAAAAATTGAAGGACTCTAACCCAGGCATCAACCTTCATAGCCCATCACGTCTCTAAGTTATTACTGACATCATAATCTCCACCAGATCTTGAGCATTTACAAAGACAAGTTTCTGGAAGCACTTTTCTCCCCTTCAGAATTCAGGTTAAGCTGCAGAAATAACATTCTTACCTTGGTAAATCATTTGAAATACATTTGTAAATTGAGTGAATGGTGTCCCCACTGAAGGTGCCTTCGGAGCTGCTTTGCTGTGATGCCTTCGCGGCCTTAGTTGAGGGTGAAGACTGCGAAAGTGCTGCTCTGCGATCTGTTCCCGTTTTTGCCGCCTTCAGCTAGGAGTAAGGATGTTACTCAATTTAAAATGTAAAACCCTCCGGGGTTACACACTGAGGCTGGGTGTTCATCACAATTTCCTTCTCATCACGTTCTAGACTGTGCAGCAGTTGCTACATGTGAAATCTCATTAGAAATGAACAGAGAGGAGAGCCCAAAGGAAGACAAAATTCTAGATCTAAGTCATTGGTATAATCCTACTTAAGAAAAAAAAAAGAAAATTGGTTGCCAAGTATTTTAATTTTTGTTGCTCGCTAGAAAGTCAATTATGCAAACAAACTTGGCATGAGGAATTTGTTACTGAAAAGCGCAGCACAATGCTTTTTTATTCGGTCTGCCTTCACCCTTTCCTTTTTGGAAGCTCCCTTCCTCCTGATTCTAATGGGGCTGTAAAGTATGTGGCCTTGTTTCCCAAGCGGAGAAGCGTGTCCAAGGCTAGCCAAAGTGCCTTCCTTCCCCAGACACAGCAGTTGCTACATCAGGGTCCCCATGAAGAAAACAAAGTAGCGCTCGGTTCTCTGGGATTGCTAATTTTAAGAACAATTTATGAAACCAAAAAAGATGAAAGGCAAAGTGAGAGATAGAGAGACATTAAAAAATGAGAGAGATTCCTGATGACAACATTTGAATCCCTGAAACCAGCTATTAAAAACAACCACATCTCTGGAGTTTACTGGGTAGGTGAGCCAACAGTCCTTTTTTTTTTCCCCCGCTTAAGCTACAGGCTGGGATTCTCTTATTTGCAACCTAGAAAAAAAATTTTTTAATATATCTTTATTGATTTCAGAGAGAGTAAAGGAGAGAGTGAGAGAGAGAGAAACATCAATGATAAGAGAGTCATTGATCGGCTGCCTCCTGCAAGCGCCCGACGGGACAGAGCCCGCAACCCGGGCATGTGCCCTGACCGGGAATGGAATCCCGATCGCCTGGATCCTAGGTCCATGCTCAACCGCTCAGCCACGCCTGGCAGGGCACAACCTAGAAATCTTGAGTAACACACATCACAGACAACCAAAAATTTCTTAAGACCAAAACAATATGCCCACAAGAAATACTACTAAAGAATGTTATAGGTTCCTTTTCAGGGTATAATCACCTACTCACAATGCTGATAAAAAATGGCTACAAAGTCTCATCTCTGGAGTCCCAAGGTAACATGACATATCACTACTAAGGGAAGGATAAAACTTGTAAGGTAGTAAAAAAAATAAAAATACTTCTACCTTTTTACTGCTATTCTGAAATAAAAGCATTCATTCACCCAGATAATTTATTGAGCACCTACAATGTATTTGGCATTGTTCATGCACTTACAATTTTTTAGTGAACAGAGCACACACAAAAAAAAATTATGCCCTTTTGGAATTTATATTCTAGGGGGTTGGGCATATGATAAATAATAAAGAAACAAGTACATTGTTAAGATATTAGGTGATAAATGCTATGGAAAAAATTGATCAAGGAGGGTGGACTAGGAGTATGCAGATGGAGAGAACTACAATTTTAAATATGTTTGTCAGCATAGGCCTCATTGAGGTGGTAATATCTGTGCAAAGACATAGAAGAGGCAAGGGAGCCAGCCATACAATATCCAGGAGCGAGAAGGTCCTAGGGTGGGGTATCCCCTGCAGGTGTGAGAAGAGCAAGACCAGGTGAATAGATGAGCAGCAGGGAATGTCGTTGGGATGCGGAAAGAAAGGCAACGGAGCGGGTAGACATAATACCAGGCCTTGCAGGATGCTATGGGGGCTTTCAGTGAATTAGAGAGCCCATGAGGGTTTGGAGCAGAGGAGTAGTATACATTTTTTTAAACGGTAATTTTGGCTGCTTCTTAAGTATACATCAAACACTTCAAAATAACTACATTTAAATGCCCTGATTTGTCCACATATTAATATCTTCTAATACTTGTATAAATTCTTTGTGGTAGAGACTGCTAACTGTCTGCCAATATCCATTCCTTCCTTCTACTATGATCCTGGAATCCCTGATTTTTAACTGAGGCATATGGCTGTCTGAAATAAAGACTATTTACTGTTCTTCCTTACAGCTAGGTAGGGCCATATAAACTAGTCTGGCCAATGAAATATTAGCAGACAGGACCCATGCAAATGAATTTGCTTTTCTTTTTCCTCCGTTCTGCTACCTAGAATGAAGACATGCAGGCTGGCATGAGATGGGTCACCTTTAACTTTGATTTGATGCTAGGAATGAGAGCCATGCCCCAAGGAGGACAGGAGGAGTCTGAATCTCTGACAACACAGAGCACCACATGAACCCCGGGCTACCTGCCTTCAGGCTTTTACATGAGAAATAAACGTGTGGCTTGTTCAAAAATAACGTTAATTTGGTTCCTTGTCATGTGCAGTCAAAACTAATCCGGAAACTCCTAAATTGAACTAAGTTGCTCTAAAGAATCTAAAATATATGCTATTGGATTAGAGCAACGAAATGGGATGAACACTAGGTTGGCTAGGAATATAAATTTAACTGTGCTTTGGGCCTTTTGGACTCACCAAGCTTCCACGATCACGAGCCAGTCCCTTAAAGTGAATCAGTCTGTGTGTGTGTGTGTGTGTGTTTGTGTGTGTTCTGTTATATTCTGCTGGTTCTGTTTCTCTGTAGAACCCCAATAATTCTCTTACAAAGATCATGTCAGCCTGCAAGGCGCACTTAAGAACCTGAGCCAGAAAGACTTTCCTTAAGCACGGACCAGTAGAGCCAGTCAGATGTTGGATGCAATGGGATCATCAGTGGTGATGTGGGTCAGCAAGAAGCCATAGCAACTCCAGCAACACTAACACCAGCAGCACCAACAGATGAACCGACCACTGCCAGGGCTCTTCCTCACCTGGGAGGGTTTCCCTTCTGAACTGTGATTAACTCCGAAGGTTCCTGGATAATCTACAAGACACGGGAAGCTCGAAGAGTATGATGCTAGGCTTGTTGCTAAAGAACTATAATTTATACTCACAAGTATAATGGAGAAATATACACCCAGAACACATATGGGGGAAAAAATTATTCGCTGCCACTTACTCGCTATTTAACCTTGGGTATTACAATCTTTATGAACTTCCGTTCTTTCATTTACAAAACTGGGTTATCCACATGGTCATGGGGATTAAATAAAATGGTGAACGTGACCGCATTTGGCACAGTGCTCGGCACATGGTAGGTATTCAAAAAATGTTAGATGAATCTGAATCTACATCAAAACAAGAAAAGGTATTTCTCTCTACACAGTTTAACAAGAGAAAGCACTTTTTCCTGCCCAGCACTCCTCTGGTATTCCAACTGGAGACCAAAGGGCTGTTGGCCTTCACACTCTCCCTCCCCCTCCAAGCTTCTCACAACAGGAGGTCTGAGGTTCTCTTCTCAGGCTTCCATAACAACCACTGCCTGTTCAATTCTTTCATAGGTCAAGTCCTTCCTAATTGGGGAATGCTTATAAGTGAAAAATCCAGCTGTGTATAGCCAGGCAAAATGATATGATTAGAGAGTAAATCACCTTGAAGAACAAAATCCCTTGATTGTCCTGGTGAGTTTATTGTATAATCCAATTATTTAAAATCCAAAACTAAAATCTGCTCCGAACTATTCGAAAATAGCTCTTGATATATAGCAACAGTTTTAATTTTTACTTATGCATGATTGCAATCCTAATCTTCACTGAAGGAGGTAATCATTTTAGTGATGGGTATAGTTTTGTTTTTTGCCATGTAAAATAGTTTCAGGATGCTTTTAGGTGGAACAAGCTACGTAAGTGTGAAATCATTACCATAATTAAATGCAATATTTCTTCTATAATGTTACTATAAAACCAGTGTCGTCCTCACTAAAAGTAGAACATATTAACAGGTTAAGCAGAATATGCAGAATACAATAGGTTTTAAGATAATATTCCTGCACATTACTAATTAAATGAGAACTATTGTTAAATATAAATTAAAGAAATAAAAAGTGTTAATTTTAACTTGACTGACACTAAATACTATGATACTCTAGTAGAGTGCAGAAAAAGGCACTGCCTTACATTTTATTAACTCATGCAGATTCTATTCACTACCACATTGGAAAAGCACATTTTTTCTTTACTTCGCATCTCTTAATTTTACATGAATATAAGCTCTCCACTCATGCCCATGCCTAGATCTGCTTTTTCACCCTTTTTTAAAAAAGACTTTCAAGTACATAGCAGTTAGGAGCCTGGACTCTGGAGCCACCGTGCCTGGGTTTATATCCCCACTGCCCACTTCCTAGTTGTAACACTTGGACCAGTCACATACTCTCTTTGTGCTTTAGTTTCTTCATCTGTATAACAGTGGCCCCTCCATAGGTTAAGAATAGTAGCTCCTCCATAAAGTTAACATGCTAAGCACACACACAGTAGGTACCATGTGTCGGCTACTGAAGAGGAGAGGCTTGAGTCTTCAAGTTGGGGCACTAAATACCAATAACAACTTGTACCTGGAGACTTTCCAAGGGGCATGCAAATGTGGACAGTTTTAAGCAAGTCAATTTTCAGATCCTTGCCTTCCATATGTATATGCTCTCCTAAAATGCCTCCGTCCAAGAAGCTGCCTGTCCCAGTTAGAGTTTGTCCTTGGAAAGTCTCTGTTCTGTCATTCAGTTACAGAGAGGTGTTCCTTTTATGCCCATTCCAGGGTCTCAAACCAAGGGACAACTCCACTCTTCCTTTAATTAAGAAATTATAAGTGTCCCCATCAATCTATACCATTAATATATACATTTCCAACAAATTTTACTCTGTACATATTTAATAAATATAGGAAAATGATAATATATTCATGCTGCTTTGACTAACCATGTACTAAAATAATAATAAAAATTCAACCCTGGAGAAATTTTTCAATACTTAACCACCTTATGGTCACAGGACATTTAAAAATTTGCAGTTACTGTATGATAGAATGGCCTACCAAAGACTTTCAAGCAAAAAAAAACAAAAAAAAAAAAAACAATTTCAATGGAAGAA